TTAACAATAACTGAACAAATCTCAAGAATATTAAAGAGAATTTAAAAATATTAAGCACAGGGACCAGCAAAAGGCATAGAAGGTACGTTGCTGGACTCCCACATATCCAACCATAGTTCGAGTCCTGGACCTGGTGGCTTCAAAAATCACACTGGGAACATGTGCGTGTATACCCAAGATTCCAGGCAGAGAATTGAGGAGAAGGGATTGTGGTGTGGCCATACTTCCTGGGAGGTGATTTCTCACTTCCCCTCTCACTGTGCCTATCTGTCTCTCTCTCCAGTGAGCACATGTGCCCTAAGGCAAAAACCTCATACACGCAAACGCACACACACACACACACACACAGAACAAACGAAAACGAAACTCATAATGTCTGGAATTCAATACAAAAATCATCAATCTTGCAAAGAAATAGAGAAGTACAATTGACAATAGTAATAAAAATGTATATAGACCCCAAATGAAACAAATGCTAGAATTAGTAGATCAAGACCAAAAAAAAAAAATTAAAACTATCATTCCATATAATTCCATATTCTACAAGGTAGAGAAAAGATTTGAGTCTAATAAGTAGAGATATGAAAGATATAAAATAGACCCAGACTGAACCTCCAAACATGAAGGATAAAATATCTGAGATAAGATAATACAATACCTGAGATAGGACTAATGGCCGATTAGATACTGCAGAATAAAAAAATTAGCAAACTTGAAGGCACAAAATAAAAATGATCCATAATAAAACACACACGAAGACTAAAAAAATAAACAGCACTGGTGAACTGTGAGACAAATTTAAGTGGCCTAAATGAATGTAATTGAAAAGAAGAGACCAGAGATGGAAATTATTTGGAATAATATCTAAAGTTTTTCCAAATTGATGAAAACTCCAAGAAACTCAATAAACCCTGAGCATAGGAGACACAAGAAAATACACCAAGGCATATCATAGGAAAATTGCTTAAAAGTAATGAAGAATAGAAAATCTTAAAAGTAGCAAAAGCAGAGACGTTCTATACAGAGAAAATTAATTATATGATTGGCAGCACCCTTGTCAAAAACAATGAAAGGCATGAAAAAATGGAGCTGCATCTTTAAAGTATTAAAAACAAAGAAACAAAAGAAAACCTAGAATTCTATAAACAGTGAAAATATCTTTCAAAAAAGAAGGCAAAGAGTCCCCCCTGCCAGGCACTTAAAGCTGAAAGAATTCATCACCAGCAGAACTTTACTAACTAAAATGCTGAAGGAAATCTTTCACAAAGAAGAAAAATTTTATTACAGGGATCATTTCAAGAAATGAAGAACATCAGAAGTAATAAATATGGGATTACATTTTTTTAATGTTAAACTCTCTTTGAAAAATAACTGACCATTTAAGCAAAAAACGTATTGCATAGCTTAAGATTTCTAAGTAAAATGTAGGACAACATCACAAAGGCTGGGGGACCACAATTATACCATTATAAAGGTCTGAGCCTACATTCAGGTGGTATAATAATTCAGGTGTTAATAAATGTAAATATAAACCTTCAATCAACCACTAAAAAATATCCTGAAGATTTACATCTAATTAGTCAAAAAAGAAGATAAAATGGAAACATTAGAAAGAACATGGTTAATCCAAAAGAAGGAAGAAAAAAGGAAAAACAAGTGTGGCAAACAGAAAAAAAATAACACGTTGGTAAATTTAAACCTAACCGTATAAAGAATTACATTAAATGTAAATGGTAAAATACCTCACTAAAAGGTGGATATTCTCAGGCTAGCAGGTGGAGCAGAGGTTAAGGCGCTGGATCCCACATAGTCTACTCTGCAGTTCAAGTAAGTCCCCTACCTGGTGGCTTGAAAATCACACAGGGTGCATATGCATGTGTGCCACCCTCTCCGCACCATGGCACCAAGAAAAGATGGATATTTTCACATTGGATAAATAAGCAAAATATGCTACCTACTGGATACCCTCCTTAAATATAAACACAAAAATAGTTAAAAGTAAAAAGACATAAAAATACTGTCACTTATAAAAAGAAAGCCAGAGTGAAGGCAGGACTTATAGAATGGTAAAGTCCTCCAAAAATCTACTCTTTTATAAAAAGCAGTGAAAAAATGTCAAAATCAACTTTTTGGAGCTCTGGAAATTGGCCAAAGGCTTGCAACAATTTGAAATCAATTTCTTCAAGAAAAGCAACTGAATTTAACTAAGACTAATGAGCTTTGCGGCATTTTAACTTGCCTCATTTTCATTCTCCTCTCCTCAGCTCTAGGGAAGACTTGGAAAGTAGCAGCATAGAGCCCCTGAAAGAAAAAGACTGCGTTTGAAGCTTCTAAAAAATTTATGTTTGTGGATAATTGTCACTACTTTTAAAATTTTTGCTATGGGGTACATGTGCTCACCAGAGAGAGAGAGAGAGAGAGAGAGAGAGGAAGAAAACATTTCTATGGAAGATGTTCACACTACAGTCTGCTCTCTTCCATTTTTCTCTTGTGATTCTGGGCATGCATACGCATGTGCCCAGTATGCTTTCAAGCCATCGAATCTGGGACATGAACCTGCAGCTGGCATGAGGGATCTAGCCACCACACCCACCACACCATTGACTGGCCCAAATTATTACTATTTGACCTATATGGAAACCACTTTGGCAAAGACACAGGGCTTGTCATTACTTGACCTGAATTGGAGTTCTCTTGTGGGGATAAAGCCCTACCTTCAGGGCACTTGTTGAAAGTAATCTGTGGCAATTCTATATTATTGCAGTTGTCTGAGGCAGCAATATCAGCTGGGACAATTAAGAAGCTGGTTAAAAACAAAACAAAACAAAAAAAACAAAAGTAAAAGGAAGGTCTGGGCAATGCCATGTCCATGGAAAGGGGAAGGATTTTGAAATGATTTGGTATATTCCTGAGGACCTACAAAGCCATGCACAGGTGCAGGGCTATGTGAAGGCCCAGGGAAAAAACTGAGAAGGTCCAGTTCTCCTAACTCTTACGCTGAGGCTGTATGCAAACAAGACGTGAAGAATAAGGCAGAGCTGTAGATTGCTGGAATATTGGAGGTGTGCCATAACAAACACACAGAGCTCCTTGGCAAAGAGTTTAAGACTTATTGGCTTAAGGTATTTAAGGAAATACGGGTTTAAGTGCTAGGTGACCACTAAGTTAACCAAGAAGAGACTTCAGCATCTTCATATGGCAAGAAATAACCTAACCGTCTACCTTGAGAAGTGAGAAAAAAATAACTCAAAACAAACAAAAAGAAGGAAATAATGATTAGAGCAAAAGTAAAGGACAGAATAGAAATATGACAGAGAAAAAAATCAATGGAACTAAACAGATTCATTGACAATGTCAACAAAATTGACAAGTCTCCAACTAGACTGACCAAGAGAAAAGACTCAAATAGTTAAAATCATAAAGAAGGAGCATCACTACTTACTTTGCAGAAATGAAAACAGTAATAGGAAAATACTATTAGTAACTGCCCACAAATCAGATGCTCTAGATTAAGATGAATGAAACATTTGATGGAAAAAAACAAATGTAAAGTTCTCAGTTGAAAATGGTATATATGGTAATATCCTCAACTTGATTGTCATGTATTACATTTTGAAAAAGCATATTGTGTGCTTTAGAGATGTACAATTAGGAAATCTAAATTAAAAGTAAACTTTTAAAAAGGCGAATGAATTTCTAAAAGTCACAAACAACAGAAACGGACTCAAGAAAAAATAGAATATCGCAATAGACTTACAAGTAAACAGTTAGGTGAGTAATATGAGTAATAAATTAATTACAAAGAAAAGTGTAACTTTAGATGGCTTTGCTAGTGAATTCTGCCAAACTTTAAGATTCTGCCAAATCTTAAAGGAGATTTATTTAGGGCCAGTTCCATAACTTAGTCATCAAGGGAGTCAGACCCTATGTGGCCTGCTGTGGATCCGTTCTACCCCTGGCAGTTTGAAAAACACACTGGATTCATGCTCCAAATTCTGGCAGGATGGAGAAATATAAGAAAATAGATTACGAAGTGACTCTTTGAGGGATGCTTTCTCTCTCTGTCACTCTCTTGCAATTAAAAGATAATAAAAGAAATTCATATAACACGAGTCTTTTATAAACTTTTCCAAAAAAATAAAGTAGGAGGGAAAAGGTCCTTACTCACTCCATAGGTCAGTATTACTCTGGTACCATAACTGGGCAAAGATATCACAAGAAAGCTCCAGACCAATATTCCTGGTGTCTATGACACATACCTGGCACATTTCTCCAGTTTCTGGGTCCAAGGTTCAAACCACACCATCACCCATGTGGGAACCCGCTGCCTTAACCACTACGCCACTGGTTGGCCTAGTAACACCAGTGTTATTTTTTACTAGTTCTTTCTTTTTTTTTGGAGGGGTTTTTGCTATAAGGCATGTGTGCTCACCAGAAAGACAGAAACAGAGAGACAGAATATGATAAATCACCCCCTGGGGGGATGGCCACGCCACAATCCCTTCTCCTCTATTCTCCTCTTGGGATCTTGGGCACACACGCACATGTGCCCCACCGCGGTCGACTATATGGGAGTCCAGCGACATAACCATTACGCCAACTGCTGGTCCCATTTTCTACTAGTTCTTCAACAAAGAGAACTAAAGATGTCCCTTCTGGCAGAGTTGATAGAAATCGTAGAAAGTATTTTATGGGAGGGAGAGATTTTGCTCGCCATCAGGCAGATTTCTCATGCTAGTTTTCCTGGTCCAGTCCTGGTTTATGCTTATCGTCTTGGTGTAATTAATAACATCATCCACTTTCATTTTCAAAGTGTTCAGTTTGGCTGCTAAATTGTAAGGCCCCACCTTCCCCAGGTGAGCAGCAGTGAGGATGGGGAGACAAACTTAATTATATACCGGTAGCTAAGTAGTCATTTTAATTGTTTAGATACCTTCAGAATGGCTAAATCAGATGACAAAAGTACGTATAATGAACTTTCCTTACCAAAGCAAGGCTTTCAGCACATTTTTATTAAAGTATATTTTCTGCTTATTTAGGTGGAAAGCTCCAGATGTGCAATCCAGTTCAAGGCAAATTCAACCACTATGCTCTAATACAAATCCATTCCATTCTGGAGCCTCTTGAAGCTGGCTCTTCCTTCCTGGGTGAAGCACAGACCTTTACTGAAGCTGCAGTAACTAGTCTGCCTTGAGACTCATGGTATTTGGTCTACAAGTCAGTAAGCAATAGGCTTTATTCCTGGAAAGAAGAAAAAAAAAAAAAAACTCAAAAAGGTAAGCACAACATTTCATTTGATTTTGTTCTAAGTGTTCTAAAATTAAAATGCAAATTCCTGCCTTGGGAAGGAGGAGGTAGAAATATCGTTTGCTTTCAATACTAAGGCCTTTAAGACCACAAGCAGGGAGGCAAAGATTAAAATAAAACCTGAACACAGTCTTTTATCTGTCTGTGCATTTCTATCTTAGAGAAGCCAGCGGAGTCTGGCTGAGTATTTTGAAAACCTGATTATTATTATACCTTGCATGTGGTAGAAACTCACTATTCACCCAAACACACTAGGCTTTTGCTTACAGTACTTTTTTGTCTAATGGAAGTGCAGTCTCATATGTGTCATAATCCCCTACCCCAAGCCCCAGCACTTCTAAACAAGGACCCCAAAGTTGCTATTCTAGTGAATGTCTTTTTTAAAGATGCTACTTTGAGAGTCATCAGCCTCTGACAGACCACTAAAAAAATAGACACTTACTCTGGGGTCTTGGGAGTTAGAATTTAATGCTAGTGAGGGAATCAGAACACCTTGATTCAATGCTGGCTTGTTAGTATTTAGCTGCGTAAATCTGGTGACATCAAAACAGCAATATTCATAGAGAATAAGAGGATGAACACAAGGTAATGCACTCCTGGCTCTACCATTTATTGATGTGTTACCTTCGGCATGTTGTTGAATCTTTCTGTGCCTTCAACCTCTCATCCTTAAAATGGGGACAACAGTTGTGTCTATCTCATAGAGTTGCATGAGACAGGAAGGAATTCTCAGATGTAAGGCACTTGGAGCAGAGCCTGGTACAAACAGGAAGAGCAAATACTCAGTATCGGGCAGAAAGAGACCCTTCTTTTGGGCTTCTCTTACAGTTGAATCACACTGCTTAGTACTTTTTAATATTTCCTTTTCTTGAAACAATGACCTTCTCAGCAACTAGCCAATGCCTGGCACATGGTAGATGCTTCACATTTGTTTCTTAAACACCTAGTTGACTGGGACATAAAAGAGTTGGGCTGGTTAATTCTCTGTCTGAAGCAGGACCACAGTGGGATCAATCAAACTGGTGGAACTTTGCTCTAGTCTGTTTGTTATGCATAGATGTGGCGTAAGCAAAAAAGGACTGTTTTATAAGAGTCTTCTCTGTAAGTGTCCTGGAGCAAGTGTTTAAAACTTTCTCACTTTCTTTCTTTCCCTTTTCCTTCCTTCCTTCCTTCCTTCCTCCCTTCCTTCCTTCCTTCCTTCCTCCCTTCCTTCCTTCCTTCCTTCCTCCCTTCCTTCCTTCCTTCCTTCCTCCCTTCCTTCCTTCCTTCCTTCCTCCCTTCCTTCCTTCCTTCCTTCCTTTCTTTTTCTTTCTTTCTTTTTTTCTTTCTCTGTCTTTTTCTCTTTCTCCTCTCTTTCTCTCTTTTTTTCTTTTTCTTCTTTCTCTTTCTTTCTCATTTCTCTTATTTTTTTCTCTTTTTTTCTACAGAACATTTTTTTTTTTTCAAAAGAAATCTCATGAGGAATTATAGACTAACAGGTAAAAGCAAAGCATCTCTCTCTGAGATAACCTGGGAGCCAGAGCTTGACCCTCTTTTTTCCCCCAGGAGATTTTGAAAAGGACTCTCTATGAAAACCATGTACAGATCAGACATCAGACGTCTAAGCAGGGATTTTATTGCCATGTTTAGTAGAGCCTAGAGGTTCTTCCACAGGGCATCTCAGCAGCACTGTATGGGAGTGAGGAAGCAGGAGGCCCAGCAGTTGATGTCAGTCTTCATTTGGGTATTTCAGTCTCCATCCCAACCATGCTTGAGTCTGTCTCTGCTAGTATTTTCTGATCATCAGTACTGACTTAACTTGCCATATGAAGTTGATAGATTAAAAACATTGAAAACCACTGTGTGGAGAAATGTAACAAAGGCTTGGAAATTGTCATTGTAAATTCACTGGAATAATTCTAACTTAGATGATTTCTTTTCACACAGGATACTGCTCTTTGGAAGTGGTTTCTTTAGGGGACATCTTCTGATAAAATGGAGAGCTTATTCCAGCAATCAAAATTTCTTGCTGATAGTCCTAGCCTTGACATGGATGAAGTTTTTTTTTTTTATTTCCAAGTGGTAGCGTGAGGCATGAGTAAACAAAGTGTTAGGTGGGAAAGGACTTTGTGTTGGTTCAGGTCCTCTGAGAAGCAATCACCCAGACAGGATTTGACTTGTAAGAGGTAGGGGACAATGCCTATAAGGAGGTAAGGGGAGGGGGCTAGAGGAAGTGTGGAGAACCCTGAGACTGAGATACAGTTCTGATCCTTATGAAGGAGAGAAGGAAAGGAGGAAGGGAGGGGAGGTAGGAAGACAGAGTACAGCTCAGTTCTAAAATGGTTTTAGCTAGCTGCTAGGTTCAGCCAAAGTCACTCTTTGGAGGAATTGTGTATCTTGCCACCATGGGCCTACCTTATTACTCCTTCTGCATGCAGTCAGGGGATGGGAGCAGCCAGTAGGCAACGTGGCCTGGATGTGGGTCCAGAGGGCCATAGCAGGGCCTTCTGTCAGTCCTACTCTTCCAGCTGGAGATGTGAGTGGCACGTTTTTATGGTCGCCACAGGCTTGCACACTATTTCCTGATATTTTGTCCTAGACAAATTACACTCTAAAGCAATAATTTCTGAAAGTTAGACTAGACAGTGGTAAAATTAAAAAACAAACTAAAGACCAAAACAAACCATAAAAAGGAATCATAATGAGTTTTTCATAAAGCTAAAATTACTATAGCAACTGTTCTTTATTCTTAGAGTATGTCCTTCTTTACTTTTTTTTTTGAATGTTCTTTTATTTTTCATGAACTGAAAGTGATACTAGAGATTAGTGATATTTTTAATGTTTTTAACCTAGCAAAGTTAAAAGTAGGCATTTCAGTGATGCTCCCAGTATGTATTTATTAGTTAAGTAAAAAAGATAAGGACTCACATCTATAAAATAATTGGGTAAATCATAAAATATGGTTCAAATGCAAAAGATTTATTCTTAACAGTTTTTTTTTTTCTTTTTGGAAAGAAGAGGAAAATAATCAGTATCAAACAATCCTATCTATTACAATCCAGTGCAGGCCAGGGGCCTGGAAGCCCCCATAGGTATGGGGAACTTGAAGGGGCTGCCTTTATTTGGTCCCAAAGCCTGCTTGGCCCAGGCCTTTGGTTCCTGCAGGAGCCTCTGGCTCTTTTCCTGCAGCTAGGCTCTGTTTCTTACAAATCCCTACTCTGGCTCCACAGAGGACAGTCAGTGGGTATCATTAAAGATAAGCTCATGAAAACTGGGAATCCAATTTTTTTCTATTACTTTTAGGAGAAGAGAAAAAGTTCATTCATTTTGGGGTGGGAGCTGGAATGATCCAGAGTCTAGGGCGACTCACAGGAACACTTCTGGCATCAGCATAAAACTTGCCAAGGAGAGGTAGAAAGTTCATTCACTAATGAAGCATGCGTTTACTAAGTTCCCAGCACTGAATTGGAGAAAATTAAAAAGCCACTCAAGATCATTTTTATATTTCAAGATGAAGGCTATACACAGCTAATTTTTCTAAGTACACTGATATTCAGCAAGCCCAGGCATATTTCTTCTTGAGAAAAAAATAAATAATTAAAAAATATATATATATTTAAATACATCCACAGATCTGTATTTTTAACATAATAGCATTACCAAGAATTAGTAATTAGGTGGAAGTATCTGGTTAAAATAAAATAGACTCCACTCAACCAGCTGTCATGAATTCAGTTTATTTCAGATGTTCTGATATTAAATTGCTTAGTTGCTCATAAGTGGCTCATAATAAAACGAAATAATGGCTTGAGGATATCTTGTCAGATTTTAATCACGGTAGATTAATTAGGTTTTTCAGAAACAAAACACATTGTTTGAGATGTCTCCAAACTTGGCAACGCCCAGCTGGTGTGTCAAAAGGAAGATCGGTTTAGGCAGGTAAATGTTTTCAGATTACTTGTGGTTGAATGGCTGCCAGGCCCCATTTTCTGTAAATAAAAATACTGATTTGTGGGGCCAAAACTGCTCTTCTGGGAGGGAGGCACTGACAGATACCGTCAACAGGTAAATTTGTGTAAAAACGCAGAAAGCTGTTAGGGGAATACGTCTAAATGTTTACCTACAACATTTTACTTGGCACTGCCAAGGGGCTAGTCATCAACCATTTCTGGGCAGGATACTATGCATTTTTTAGATGGTATAGCTTGGAGACAAGGAATTTTTTTCTTTCCTGGTGGCTCAGTTTCCTAGCAACTGTTATTTATACTCATCACTTGCAAAAATGATAGTAGATAATAGGACTGTCACTAGTTGAGGTTTTAATGATAACACACATATCACTACATTGCTAATTTTTTTTTAGTATTTTTGATAGCTATGTTCAAAATATGTTTTTGTGTGATCTCAAGATTTTAATTACTGTTTTCCACTAGAATATATTTTTTCTGCAATCTTACATCTTCTATGCAGTTAATGCTTTATGAGACTGCAAAATTCTTCCATGACACAAACAAATTAAAAACTTCTGTCTGAGGAACATCAAGAGGCCTTGTTTTACCTGTATATTAGTCACTAACTCTTTTTTTTTTTTTGAGAGAGTTTTTTTGCATTAGGGTATGTGTGATTTCTGGAGAGAGAGAGAAAGAGAGAGAGAGAGAGAGAGAGAGAGAGAGAGAGATGGAGACAGAGAGACTAAAAGCAAGAAATTGCCCCCTTAGGGGGAATGGCGATGCTCTAATCCCTTCTCCTTCATTCTCTTCTTGGAATTTTGGGCATGCATTCATATTCACCAGGCGTGAGTTTCAAGCCCCGGGTCTAGGACTTGAACCTCGGTTCATGACTATGTGGGAGTCCAGTGCTGCAACCACCATGCCATCTGCTGGCCTCCATTAATCATTTTTTTAAAAAAATTGTAAAAAATTATTTCTTTGAACTTTATTTACTTTTGTTTTAATTTGACCAGAGAGGGACAGAGTGAGAGAGAGAAAGAAAGTGAGAAAGCAAGTCAATCACCAGCTCCGGGACTTGACCTGCTGTTGGCCATGTGGGAGTCCAGCACCCTTGACCACAACACCACTTTCTGGCCCCAACTAAATCATGTTTTTTAAAACATTTGATAAAAAAACAAATTTTTTTTTTTTGCCAGAGGGCATATGCATTTACTGGTGAGAGACAAAGAGAGAAGGAGAGAGGGAAAGTGTGAAAACACCCCTCATGGGGAATGGTCATGCTACAGTCCCTTCTCCTCCACCTCTCCCTCCTTTAGGGATTTTGGGCACACACACCCAGGTGCCCATTATTTTTTTCAAGTTGCTGGACATACAATGTCTGTCTTTAGTAGTCTGGTTTGCCGCCCTTAGCGTAAATCTTTTATATTCATCCACTTCATATCAATGTCAGGGCCTCATCTCTTTTTACCTCAAGACTTGAAAAAAATTGAAGCAGACTTTTCCTGCTGTTGCTAATCTTATTCTGGGTTGGCTGCCTCACCTCTGTTCAGTTTCTTAGTTTTTAATAATCTGTGTAACCCAATCTTGACCTTAAATTCCATGTTCAAAATATCTAGAGCAACACATTATCAAAGCAGACAGTTCTGGGTGTACAGGATAGGTTTTTCAGCTTGGGAGATGCACCTGTGAGCTGGGAGTTCCAGTCCAGGGTTCGGGCTGTTACTGTTCTATATCATGATTATACCCATTAGAATGGATAACAGATTCAAATTGGTCAACCCATAATGGAGCAACTCCTCAGAAGCCTCCTACATCTGAGTCTTGAGT